ACACGGGAGCCCCCTGGCCTTGCCTGGAGCTCTCCAGGGGTACTGTGCCTCTTCTGCAGGGCACTGGCCCTGTCCCACCTGTCCCACTCAGCCTCTCCTGGTTCTGGGGCCAGTGGCAGTCAGGGGTCCATGAGCCCCCCTTGCCCCCCGTCTTCTGTGGGCCTCCCAGGTGCCACGGAATGCCAGCCCTGGGTGTGCCGTCTGTGTGCCTCTCCACCAGGCAGGTACAGGGTGCTTGCCTCACTTGGAGGAGGCTGTGGGCTCCTGATTTCCATGCTGTGAGTAGCTTTGCCTCTTCTGAGCTCAGTGCATGTGGAACCATGAAGTCCGTGGCCTCCTGGGCCTGGGTCGTCTCCTGTGTGGGGTGTCTGAGGTTGTGTCACGTGGCCACGGGTGCTAAGAGCCGACTCATTGCTGAGTGGTGCTCTGGTGTGGCTGACTCATACTCTGCTTGTCTCGCCCGCAGGGCCCGCGGGGCCTCTCCAGCCAGCGCGCCTCTCCAGGTCTGTGTGCCTGGTCCTCCTGGGCGAGATGCTGGGAGTGGAGCATGCCCCAGCTGGCGAGGCGCCAAGGAGCTCCCCAGGGCCCTGCCACCTTCCTTCCTGCCCAGCAGACCAGTGCAGCCTGGGGCCTAGGCCATGGGGCTATAAGTGCCACTCGACTGCGGCCTTGGTGTGCATCTCTTTGAGGAGGGCTGTGGGGCGTCTTCCCCCCACAGTCCCTTCCCTGTCTTCCCACGGGGCGTCTCTTCACATGGTGCCTCTGATTCCCGGGGCTGTGTGTCCCGAGCATTGGACCCGAGCGTCCGTGCCGCCCTCTGCGCAGCCCTGGTGGGTGCCAGTGTGCAGAGTCTTTTCCCTGCATCGTGGCGGCCTCTTCATTTTAAGAGTCTCTTAAGAAGAGCAGGAACTTTCAGCGTTAGGCAGATCAGGAATGCTTCACCATAGCTATGTCCTGAATGTGGTGTGTCCCCTGAGGTGGCAGTTGGACCCAGGGTCTTGTTCACGGCCCTCAAAGGTGGGCACTCTGCTGACTGTGTGTCAGAGACGGGCCCTTGAGAGGCGATGGGGCCAGGTCCCTGGGGTGGAGCTGCGACTGGATCCTGGCAGCTTTGTGAGCAGAGATCGCGCACTGGGGGGCACCTGCCACCCCACCATGGTGCGACTCGGCGGCCCAGTGGTGGCCCCATGAGAGCCTGTGCGGCACGGCCTGGGACTGCAGAGCCGCCAGTCAAGCACAGCACCCRCCGTGGGGAGCCACGCAGCATCTGCGGACACCTGCAGGGAGTCCACGGTGCTCACGCCCATAGCTAGACTTGTGGTGCATTTGGAGTTCCCTCCTGCATGTGCCCTCAGAAAGGGCTGAGGGTCGCTTTTTAAAAACACTTTTAGCACCACTTGTCGAGACAGCCATCTTTGCCCATGGGCTGCATGGGTGCCTTTCTGAACACCGTGTGCCCACATTCCTGGATTGCTCTATGGTGCTGTGCTGTGGCCCCGGCCAGTGCTGGGTCCCCAGGCTGCAATCCTGCTCAGGCCAGGCAGGCTGGTGCCCTCCAGCTTGCTCCTCTGTGCAGTGCTGTGGACCCTCAGGTTCTTGGTGTGTCAGTGGACATCTCAGAATCACCTTGTCGATTTTTGTTTTAAAATCCTGCTGTAGTTTCAACTCGGTTGCGTGGCGTCTGCAGACCTCTGTGAGAATGGCCCTCTTAAAGGCGCCCTGTGTGCCCGGAGTGCGCCTTTCTGTTGATTCTCTCGGCAGTGCCTCGGGCTTTCCAGGGGTGAGTTTTGTGTTTATCCTTGTTCTGTTGGAAGTGGCTCAGGGACCTTGAGGCTGAACACTGCTTTTGGTGGCATTGTCCACATTCCACTGTCCACTCTTGGCCACAGCTGTTTTTTGTGCATTGCTGGTGTCCTGTGGGGCCTCAGGTTCATTATTGGTTCCAGGAGCTTTTCCCTGGACCTTCGGGATTTCCTGTGTGCAGGGACATGGATACCCTGGCCTCCTGTGAGAGCAGTGTGGGGTCTCTTGCTCTAGTTTCCTTAGACTCTCAGTCGTGAGTGTCGAGTGTCGGATTGCATCAAGGCTGGCTCCTCCTAACTTAGTGAGCTGTCCAAGTCACAGTTAGAGCCTGGCCTTTCCTTTTGTTCGAGGATTGACCCCCAGGGCAGTTTTCCACTGAGCTACATCCCCAGTCCTTTTTATTTGGACTGCAGCTGGCCTCCAACCTGTGTGCCACCTGTCTCGGCCTCCTGAGCTGCTGGAATCACTTGTGTGGCCTTGTGCCCGGCTCATACCTGACTTTGAAGTGTCAGGCCACCTCTGAACCCTGGGTCAGCGCCCCCTCGGCAGTGCCCCGCCTCCTTTCTTGCTGTCTGTCCGAGGTCTGTCCTGGGCTCTGTGGGACGCCTGCTGTCTCTCTTCTCTGGGTCTGTGCTCGGCTTTGGCGTGGTGGGGGCTGCTCCTGCAGTCTGCCCCCGGGCCGCTTGTTCCCTGGTGGTGGAGCCGGCTCACCTGGGTCTGTCTGGTGGTGTTTCAGTTGCAGTTTCAGTCTCGCCACCGCCGGCGTCCTCAGGCCTGTCTGTTGAGTGGTGTTGGTCCTTCTTGTCTCCCTTCACGTTGGGTCTGTGGTCACGTCCCTTTTCATTCTCCATATGTCTTGTTTGTGACTGTTCCTGTCATTTCCAGCTACAGTTGTGCAATCTTGACCTTCAGAGAGAGCTCTTTGGCCCCATTGGCTGTGTCCACCTGGGTCTGCCCTTGACCGTGTGGTCACACCCCTCCTCTGTGTGTGTAGGTAGGTGGCTGGCTCCCCAGGGCTCCGGAGCTGGAGCTTCTCCTCGTTCCTGATGCCCGAGCTCTGAGCGCCTGGGAGGAGCCCTGCTCTGCTGCACCCATAGCTCTGCGCCTCCTCTGACTGCTCTCTGAGTTGGCGGGGGCAGGGTGGCCGGCACTGTAACTGCAGTGGGCTGCCTTCCCTCTGCGGGGCGCCCCCTCCGGCCGCTTCACTGCTGCTGCGTAGGTTTGCTGGCTGAGCACCTGCTGTGCCTACGGCCTTGGGTGGCCGGGTTGGGTAAGGGAGACTTGTGAGGGGACAGAGAGGAGATGCCCGTGGAAGAGGACCTACAGGACCCGGCCCAGAACCAACTGCCCTTGCTCTAGTGCTGATGACTCCATGAAGATGTGGCGGCCACCATTTTTGGGATGGAGTCTGAGGAGAGGAGCATCAGTGCCGGCCAGAGGCAGGTGTGGGTAGTCACAGCCTGGCCTCCCGGGGAGCCAGCCCTGGGCTGTGCCGAGTGTCTTGCCCACTGCCCTGCAGACACAGTGCCAGTTCACAGCCAGGGTTGTTGCCCCAGCTGTCTAGGGGCTGCAGGGTCACGGGGAGCAAAGCACCAATGTGGGGTTGTCCGGATGGGCATCAGCAGGGGTGGGACGGGAGGGCCCGTGAAGGGCAGGGATAGGGCCAGGGGAGGCTGGAGCACTGTGCAGGGACTTTGGCTTTGTGAGAGTGACACGTGGAATGGCTGGCCAGTGTGAGGGCTGGGACATGACCTGCTTTTAGCACCTCTTCTCCAGGGACTGTGCCTGGGACGCTGTGGCCGTGAGGGGCAAGAGGCCTGCAGGAGCCCTGGGGCACAGAGGAGCAGGGCCAGTGTGTCTCTGACTGCCGAGCGGGTCTTGGCTGTGCAGTCACCCCCACATGCCAGACTGGGAAATGGAGGATGGGGACATGGGAGCCGAGAGTTTTGCTGAAGAGACAGGAAGGCTGGGAGTACGGGGCAGAGATGGGGAAGTCGGGAGATCCTGGGCAGGCGAATGTGAGAGCAGTGGGATGCCCAGGCGGATGGACCGAGGGTCATTAGGGAGGACAGTCTGGAGATCAGGTCCAGGTGGGGGCAGGACCATGGGACGAGGGCGCTCAGGTGGGTCTCAGGCTGTGGGACTGGCAAGCTCGCTGAAGAGGTCCTTGTGGGGAGTGGCAGTGAGGTGGTGGTCCAGGGTGGAGTGTCAGGCTCTGTCACGTGGCCGTCGGCACAGTGAGTGGGCAGCCCCTGGAAGGAGGAGGACCAGGAGGCAAGTCCTAGCTGGGTAGCAGCCATGCCATGGAGTCATTGGGGCCGGAAGGCCCCTGTCCCTGCTGCTGTCACCAGCCTTTCCTGGCTCCTCCTCAGCCCGCCCCAGCTCTCTCCTGCACAGACTGCCACGCCCTGCCACTGAAGGGCCGTGGAGGGGAGGCACGGCTGGGGCCGTGAACCCCTCAACAGGTGGCTGTGACCTGTGGTGCGGACAGTGCACTGCCTGCTGGGTGTCACCTGGTCAGGTGCCAGCACCAGTGGGTGGCCTTTGAGAGCCTGAGACCTGCACTGCCCTGACCACTGCGGGTCCTGGGAGTGCAGTGCTGCCTCGCCTTGGGCTGCCCTGCGCAGGGTCAGGAGGGCTCTCTGGGTTCTGCCAGGCCAGGGTCCCACCTCTCTTGGGTGTGACTTGGATGTATATACCCAGGTGTCACTCCACTGGGGAGGGTCAGCGCCTGCAAAGAGCCCTGGTCTCATTTGCTGCTGGGGCCACATTCAAAGCTGCAGCTGGACTGTGGCCAGGGTTGCCTAGGCCCTCTCATGCCACTGCTCTGGGGGTGGCAACAGGCTCACCCTGGGCCCCAGAGCCATGCTCTGCTCAGCATTGAGACCCCTTTGCAGGGAGGTTGGCCGGGCCTCCTCACTGGTGCCCAGGCTGCCCGTGGCGGGCTGGACGGCTCTGAGCCGCGCGACTATGTTTGGGGTGGTCCTGGAGGTGGCCTCTGCCTCCCACGCAGCTCACCTTGCTGCCCCCCACCCTCTGCCTGCTGTCCCTGCCCCTCCCGCCCTCTGCCTGTCCTGCCCCTCYGGCCCTGCCTGCTGCTTCTCTCCCTTCTCTCTGCTCCTCTCCGTTTGCTGGCTGGGCTCTGCCTGTCCCTCTGCCTGCTGTGTCCCCTTCTCCCCGCCCCTTCCCTGCCCCAGGCACACGATGCAGCAGGAGACCAACAGAGCCGTGTCAGCCAGTGCTGGTGCCTTGAAGCAGACGTCAGAGCTCCTGCGGGGCTCCTGTCTGGTATGTTTCCCTGAGGGCTGGGCCAGACCAGGGAGGCCCCTGAGGGAGGGGAGGGGGCCCTGGAGGGGTAGGGGGATCCGTGTGCACAGATGGATACTCAGGCTGCCCTGGGTTCGGCCACATGTGGCTCAGGGGCCAGAACTGGGTGTGTGGGCCCTTTGAGCAGCAGGGGCCAGGGGTGGCTGCTGCGACTGCTCTCCTGGCACCTGCCTTGTGGTTGTGGTGAGGGTGTCCGAGTCTTGGCTGGGCCTTCCTGAATGGAGACTGACGACCCCAGGGTCAGTGTCACCCCTGGATACCAAAGTCCGTGTTCAGCCAAGTCCCTTGCATAGAGTGGTGTATCATGTGTAGGTGACTCGTGCACGCCCTCCCGTGTGTGCTTCAGGTCACCTGAGCTCCTGGGGTACCAGCATGGTGCAGAGACTGTGGCCAGTGGTAGGCGCACTGATGGGGGTGATGGCGAGAGCAGGGRTGAGCTGCACCAGGCACGGTGGTCTGAGTCCTCTGTGCTGTTGGTGGACCCCGGTGTGGCAATGTTCTAAATGACAGCCTACTGGGTGTCCGTCTGCCCTACTCCACCTGAGACCCCACAGACTTGCTTGTGAAATTGCAGCGAGGAGGCACAAATGGGCTGGGAGCCTTCCTTGGTGGCTCCCACAGTGCCGTGGGAGGACTCTGGACCACGCAGTGTCCACTGGCCCTGGGCAAGTGCAGGACATGACAGGGCCTCACAGGAGGAGGACTCACCACATGCCGTGGCCTGAAGGAGGGGGCACTGCTGTGGGCCCGTGGTGTTGGGAGGCATGGGGAGCAGCTGCCCAGTGTGCGGGGGGATGCTGGGTGGAGGGAGGTCGAGGTTACAGCAGACGGGCCTGAGGGTTCAGCTGCCCATGTGGGTAGGGGTTGAGGACTGGGCTTCTCCTTGCTCTAACAAGAGTCTGTGGGGAAGCACCCGCCATGTGGCTCTCGGTGCCTCCCTCACCCGGCCCGAGCTTTACGGAATGAGATGGTTTAGGTCACCGTAGCCACCTCCACTGCCGAGGGAGGGACCCTGGCAACCTGGCTGCCTTCTGTGTGGTGCTCACTGCTCCCTCGCAAGGTGGGTGTGGAGCCCCTTGTTTTGGGGGCTCCGTGGCCTGATAGCTCTAGGAAGCATGCCCAGGTCCCCTTTCTCCTTCCTGAGCTGGTCTGGTGAGTAGGGCACAGGGGGACATCAGTGCAGCCTCCCAGAGGTGCATGCTGGGGTGGGTGCCAGGCGGCTCTCTGGAGCAGCAGACAGACACCATGGGCAGCAGCGGGGACAGTGCTGTGCTCCCCCAGGCTACTTGCTCTGTCCTGGGGTTCACGTGTGATATCAGTGACCAGAGGCCACCCACCCAGGTCACTGAAACAGGCTCCACCAACTGCTGAGTGGGCGTGTGGGCCCAGTGTTGGAAAGCCTGTCCCTCAAGCACGGGCCACAGCTCATCTGCCCACACCAGCACCTCTCGCCATGGGCGTTAGTGGCAGTGGGTGGCGGTGTCTGGTGGCTGTGGACAGCCAGGTCTGCTGGGACCACACTGAAGCACCCAGGCTGGGCAGGGCACTAGGGCTGCTGTGGTTTCCTTGGTGCCAGTTCCACAGGGCTGGAGGCGGGAGGGGAGGCCCTATCAGTCAGTGGGGTCCGTGGCCAACCTGAGCAGGGACACTGACTCCAGGCCTGTCCTGTCCAGCCCCTCACCTGATAAATGCTTCTGGAGCACCAGCTCAGTGGCAGTTCATGTCTTGGTGGCGGGGTGTGGTGCTGAACAGCAGGGGAGCAGGCTGAGAGGCGGTGTTGCGGGGGAGGGGAACAGCAGTAGGACAAGGCATGGGTCCCTCGGACCGGGCTCCAGTACCTGAGGCCTGGACTGGGCCAGTCAGGACTCGGGTCATGGTCTCCTGGGCTGTGGGGCGACCACAGTGCTTGGGCTGCTGAGGGGCCAAGCCACACACTGGGCCACAGTAGCTCCGGGCTCCTGGCAGTGCTGGTCGCGCTCCGTGGGTCCTATGGTGCTGGTGTCACTGGGACTCTGGCTGATGACGGCAGTGGCGATGAGCCACGTCCTCAGGGTGGGGGTGTGACGATGCATGGAGAAGCTGGGCTGTGGCCCTGCTGGGCAGAGAGGGGCGCAGAGAGCACCATGACAGGGGCGGCAGGGCAGGGCCAGGCCTCAGCGCCCCGTACTGCCCTCTGTCTGTAGCAGGAGCGCCTTCAGCTGGACCGGCTGAAGATCCAGCTAGCAGATGCCATTCAGCGGTACGGAGTGGTCCAAAAGGTGAGGTGCCGCGGGCGGGGTGCAGGCCAGTGGGGGCTGTGGGCCCTGGAGCATACCTCGGCTGGCTGTCTCTGGGTGGCGTGGGGAACGAGGCCCTCTGAGGCTGTCCAGCCAGTCCTGCGAGCCTGCCCAGGGCCTGGCTCCCCCGGTGTGCTTTGCTCTCAGGGCCTGTGGTTTATCTGACCCTTCTCTTTCCACCTTTAACGTTCTTCATTTCTTTCTCCTCTTGTACTTTTTCCAACAGAAAATTGCAGAAAAGTCCAGAGCATTGCTTCCCACAGCTCAGAGGGGCATCAAACAGGTGGGTGCCACGTGGGTACTGTGGTCAGGCAGTGGCTGTGGGGTCAGTACCGACTCCGTTGCCGTCTGTGCTCCAGGAGAGGATGGGAAGCTGGGGACAGGCCCATTCCAGGGTCTGCCTCAGTGTCCAGCTTGTAGAGCTCCGGCGTTCTGACCTTTGGGCTTTGGCATGGTGCCAACCCTAGGAAGCTTCCCAAGTGACTGCTGATGGTTGCGTGTAGCATCACACTTTCTTATTTTCTATAACAGAATACTTGAGACCGAGTGCTTTATAAAGAAAAGGTTTATTGAGCTCCCAGTTTGGAGGCTGCAAGTGCAAGTGGTCCCATCAACTTGGCCTCTACTGAGGGTCCCCTGGAAGTTGGCATCCCAGTGGCAGGAGTCTTGTGGTGCGTGGAAAGCCAGAGTGCGACGTGGTCAGGTGCACTTTTACAACTCTTCATCCTGCAGGGCTAAGCAGGCTGCCCTGGCACCTCTGCAGGCCCTTCCAAGGGCAGGCCCAGCCACCTGATCACCTCATAAGGTCCTTCCACCTTCCTGTCACTGCACTGGGGACCAGGATCTCACACCCTCCAGGATCTCACATCCTCCACCTTAGCATAGGCAGCTGCCTGTGAGAGCCACGTAAAGCCAGGATATACACACACCCCGACTCAGAGACGTGCCACACACAGACCAGCCGGCACACGAGAGACAGATTCCATTGGCCACACTGGGCAGGGTGGCCTGGAGCCTCAGCAGCCTCACTGGGCCAGGAGGACAGGTTCTAGAACTCAGACTTCCTCAGCCAGGGCTTGAGGAGCACGTCCTCCTGGAGAAAGACAGCCCCAGCCTGCCCCGCCCCGCCCCGTGCAGCCCCCTGAGGGCTCTGCTGATCTGCATGCTGTGTGGGCCTGCTGTGCCAGGCCAGGGAGCAGGACAGAGGCCTCAGCAGAAGAGCCAGCGGGACCTCGGCACTCAGAGTGCTGAGGCAGGTGTGGTATAAGGCCCACGGGAGGAAGGGCTATTGTGGGCACCACAGGCCAGTTGAGAGCCCTGAGCATCAGAGGAACCAGGAGGAGGCCGATCCCAGTAAGCCCTGACACCGTGCCCGCTGGGTGCCCAAGGATGGTCGTGTTCCTTCTGGAAGACAAGTCCATGGTCTGATGTCTCTGGTTGCTCATTTGTGGCATCTAGGATTTTAACCAAAAATGCCTGGTACTGGGAAGAATAAATAGTGACCAATCTTCAGGGAGTGTGGGTTGAAATGATTGGATGTGAACTTAATGAAGCTGTGCAAATGTGGAAGGAGTTGGATGAGGTGGTGGGACTTTCCTAGAGAACTTGAATCTGCACATGGAGAAGTCTAGCGTTGAACACACCATGACTAATGAAGACCTCAGGAGACTGGCCAGCTCTCAGGTTAGAAGAAGGCAGGATTGATGAACTGGAMGGCGATGACACAGGTAAGGGGTGGGAAGGTGTCCAGTGCCACAGCCATGCCCAGCAACTTGGGAGGCTGAGGAGGAGAATGCCAAGTTCAAGCCCAGTCTAAGCGACTTGGTGAGGCCCTGTCTCAAAATGAAAAATAAAGAACAAGGGCTGGGGGTGTAGCTTGGTGGCACAACGACCCCAAAAAGATCCACAGAAGAATGTAGTAGTTGGAAGCCTGGATGAACAGAGGGGAAGAATGGATAGAACTAATGTTTGAAGAGTAATGGCTAAAAATTTCCCCAGACTGTCCAAATACTGCAGGCACAGATCCAAGAGACTTTATGGTAAGTAGAGTAAGTTTGTCCCTGATTTAAATAAAATCCTTGGTTATATAGTAATAAAAATTTGAAAACCAAAGACAGAAATCAATCTTAAAAGATTTTGAAACCACAGAAAATCTTAAAAGCACGTTACGCCAGAGGAGAAGGCCACACTGTGTTTGAAGGCACAGGAACCACAGCTCACAGAAGAGATAAGGGCCAGGAGATGGYGGAAGCGCCCCTGTGCTGGGTCGTGCTGGGTTGCACTGGGTCGCACTGGGTCGAGACACGTGACTAACCCAGTCAGGGTCACCCCAGGTGAACTGGGCTGCACCAAGTAAACACACAGAGACAGAGAAATACCTTTTTCTCTGGTTCTGTGACGGCTCCTCCAACCCAGCTCCCACACGAGGCAAGGCAGGCAAGAGAGAGCGTGCTCCTCGAACCCAGGTGTTATTGGGGGAGGCTGTTCCATGGAATGTTCTACCCCCAAAGGGCAAAGGGGTAGGACTACAGAGGAACAGGTGAGTGGACTCAACCCAGCAGGTGACATCTACTCCTGGAGCCACACTGTGTTATCCGAGCTGGGGTAACGCCCAAGTTACTGTGACCTGGCCCTGCCGTGCCAGAGGAAGGCAGTGACTGTTCAGAACCCCGAGCCTCRGGACTTACAGGCGTCTGCTTCCAGGGCAGCTCCGACAGTCCTGGCCKTTACCCTGCAGCTGCTGGGAGTCTTCAGATGGGGTCYTTAGGCAAAGTGGAAGCATTTTCAGAGAAGCAGAGCTGAGCGCTCCTGAGTGGCAGCTCCATTTCTGAGTGGAGACAGGAGTGTGGCCTCAGCTGGAAGCACAGTTGCAGAGGAAGGCAGGGCACATGGGTCGGGGACATGTCCTCATAGAGCAGGGTCGGCTCTGGGAGTGCAAGGCTGGTCAATTCAGAAACAGTTGGTGATTCACCTGCTAGAACACATGGGCGACGCCAGGGCTGTCCCAGCACACCCAGAAAAGCCCCACTCAGGGRTGCTGGGAAAAGGGCAGAGCAGGAATTGGCAGGGTGACTTGGACCTGTAAGAGGGACCTGCAGAACCCGAAGCTCGTTGCACTCTGCTGGGCAAACGTCATCTCCTGAGCTCGGGGATAGGGCACCTAGTTCTGTCCCCTCCATTGGCATTGTGTGGACCTGTGCAGTGTGGTGGGCATGAAGAGACAGGTGGGAGAACCAGGCAGAGCGGGGCAGGCTGCTTCCGAGGACCCGCCGGGACTTGGAACTGGTGAGAGTTGAGATGCTAGCTCAGCATCTGGGAAGACAGAAATTACATTGAAAACGTGATATTACTTCAGTCATTCTTCACAGTTAGTGCCCATAGCCCCAGCTAGTGGAGGGGCTGAGTGGGAAGGACCACTGAGCCCAGGAGCTCAGGATGAGCTGGGCACATGGCAGACACCATCTCGAAGGAGAAGAGAAAGCAACACCAACTCAGTAGCATCGAGGGTGGGGAAAAGCCTGTGAAGAGCTGCCTGAGGCCATTGTGGAAACTGCATCGTTGCTGAGAGAGACGGTGAAAGGGCCCGAGATGGGAGGGCAACACCAGGCGGACAGAGGTGCTGGCTTTTAGTAGAGGGTCTGCAGCTCCCCGTCCAGAGGGAGACTCCATGGCTTGAGAGCGCATGCTGTGTATGTGGTCATACAGACCCTGACGTGTACCTGGGAACAGAGCAGACCAAAGCAGGGAGCCAGTCCTGCCTAAGAACACAGCGCAGGATTCCCACCAGCAGACATGAGGACCTGGTGTGAAGCCCCTGCGGCATGTRCAGGTAGACACAGACCCTCACACACATGCTGGTCAGAGTTCGTGGCCTGCCTAGGTGGACTGCCTATGGACACATGGGTGTTTGATCTAGAGAAAAGGACCCTTTGCAGACTTGAGCTCACCTGTGCACAGAGATGTTTCTGGCAGGGCACAGCCTCATGCAAGAGCCAAGGCAGGAGCATTCCTCCGACACCCGGAGCAGGCCCTTCACCCCGCTTTGAGGGCAGGATGTTCTTCCACAACACAGAAGCACCAACTGAAGAATGAGAGTGGCAGACTTGACTTGGTTAAGATGAATATGACATTGAGAGAGAGGGCATTTGCACAACACATCTGAGAGGACTTATGTCCACGCTATGTAAAGACCTCTTCCAAATCAAGAAAAAGGCAGCCTTAGGTACACCCCTGAAGAGGATTTCCAAATGACAGATAAGCATGTGAATGTACACTCAACACACGACTCAGCAGAAAAATGGAGAGCAAACCACAACAGTGTATTGTTACACACAAACTCTCATCCACCAAAGCAAGAGTGTAATAAGCATACCTGAGAGGGCCTGGTGTTGGCAGGCCCGTGGGGCAGCTGGAGCTCTGTGCACTACTGGTGACTGTGGATTGTTTGTTCCTGCTCAGGAACATAGAATGTCTGTGAAGTCCAGCATTTTCTTACCGGTGATCTTGTAGTTCTACCCAAAGGAGGTGCATATGTGTGTTCCCTGAAAGGCACATATAAGAACACTCATAGCAACACCCCTGCAGGACCCCGAACCTGGTGCCCAGAGGAGACGAGTGGTCTGTGCTGGGCTCACACAGGAGACTCACGTGCTGTGGAGTTAAGGTCTGGCCAGAGGAATGGCTGGCACCAAGCACCAGGGGCCTGGGTAGCCATCATGAGGAGGATGCCTTGGTGCCGGCTGAGCCTTGGCTGGGCAGTGTCTCCCTCATGTGTTTCTGGACTGGACACTTGGCACGTGTGCCCTGGACTGCAGATTCACTGCTTGATGGCAGTTTCTGTTAATGAGGAAGGAATGGGCAGCAGCACTTCTGAGAAATTGTGGAGGCTTAGATTACTTCCAGGAATTTTGCAAACCATAAATAGTGAGATGACATGTGACCCTGTTCAGGCAGGGGCGTGTTGCCAGGTTGGTGCTGTGGACTGGGGCACCTGAGCAGCGAGCTTCCTGTGGGGAGCCACTCAGCCTGGCTGGAGGTGGCCACCTCCGCCTGGGCGGATGTGGGCTCTAACTGGTCAGTTTCAGTGAGCAGAGCTGAGACTGTTGGGGGGGGGGGCAAGCCACAGTGGAGGGTCATCTTTCTTGAGACCATGGGCCTGCTCGGCCTTGCTGTCTGCCCGAACATGGTCCCCAGGCCAGATGGTCAAAACGCTCCGTTTCCATGCTTGCGGAGTCCCTTGGCTTCCGTCTGAGGTCTGGGGCACCAGGCAGAGTTGCTGTGTCTTGCTGCCCTGGCCCCCCTTTTGTTTAATATGGGATTGGGGGCAGGATTGCTACAGTTTTGATAGCCTCCAGAGACTTCCATTTGGAGGAATTGCTGACCAGTTGTGGGGGCCCTTCCCACAGGAGTGGACCTGGTGTGAAGCCCCTGCGGCATGTGCAGGGTCTCCTGCCCTCCGTGACTGGAGGATTGGAGGATTGAGAAAGAGCCTCATTTCCCAGAGACTAAGCCCTGGATGCTGCCCTGGGTCTGCACCATCATGCTGCTTTTCCCCCAAGGGAGGGTAGGCAGGGCCCCTACAAGCATCATCGTCCCCAAACAAATGCCCCTTGAGCTTGGTCTCCTTCGTGAGAAACTGTGTAGTCCCTTTTCCAGTGGCACTTGGTAGCACCTCCTCCTGCCCAGCATGGGTTGGCCCCGGGCCTGGAGGCGAGTGGGGCCACCGTTGTTGGTCTCTGAGCTGGAGTCACCGCAGTGGCCTGTGTGCTCTATACCCCCAGCACCTGCCCCCAAACCCCTAATCCATTTTCGGCTGGCTTTGAGCTACAGACCCAAATCGGGCCTCTGTGGGCAGCATGGGGGAGCTTTGCCAGACTTGCAGGGTGTGCTGAGCAGTCCGCCCAGCCCCTCCCTGTCCTGTGTCCTGTCCTGTGTCGTTCTGGGAGGCTTGGCGCCCTGTAGGGTCTGCTGTGCCCCACCACAGCCCTCCACATCTCCTAGCGCCACCTCCTTCACGCAGTGGGGCAGCCAGCCAAGGCACCATTCCTGGTGGCCTGCGGGGGTGGCCCACACCCYACTCTGTTCTCAGCTTGTGGGGGCTTCCCCTGAAACCCAGACTTGGAAAACCAAACATCCCAAGAGGCCCGGGGCACCCAGTGTGTCTGAGGCAGTCATGTGGCCTGCTTCCTAGAGCTTTGCCAAGGAAGTGGGCGTTCCCTTCCAGCCCTTCCGGGCCAGGTCACTGTGGAGGGCTGGAGGTGTGCTGGGTGTGCCTCTGGAGTCCTCTGTGTGCTGGGAGCTTTTGGAAGTGTTGAGTGGGCTAGGCCTCAGCTGGGCTCTGCTTTAGGGCCTGTTGCTCCAGGGGCCTGAGTGGCTAATGTCCCTGACTCGGCACCAGGAATGGCACGGGTCTTCCTTGTTTCCCATGGAGAGTCAGAAGTGCCACCTCCTGGTCCTGGCCTTCCCTGTGCTCCGGCCCTTGCTCATGGGTCTTTTTTCTCAAGGTGCTTCTGGGTGCAGTGCTGTCGGCTTTGTGTCCTAGAAGTGGAGACCAGGGCTCAGAGAAGTGAGGCCCTTGCCCAGGCTGGCATAGCCAAGAGGCCTCCTGTTAGTCAGGAGACTCCGATGTCCGTGGGTCCCTATGGGCATGAGTCTTGTGCTCGACAGGCAGGATGGCCACGCGGCCAGTGCCTGGTGAGCACAGATTGTGGGCTGGGGGTGGGGGAGCGTGGTTGTTCCCACTGGACAAATGGGAGCCCCAGGGCCCAGACAATGTCTGTGACTTGCTGAACCTCGCAGCAGGTGCCAGGGCCACACAGGTCGTGGGCCAGGGTTTTCCGAGAGCACCCTGGAAGCTCTGGAGGGGGCTGTGGCCGCAGGAGGAGGCGCGGCGCAGGCTCTGGCGCAGGGCCAGCACCCCTCCCGCACCCGCTGCCAGGCACTGCTCACTTCCTCCCACCCACACGGGAAGGGGAGGCGATAATTATTGCCCTGGACGAGTAGCGCTTGTCGACAGATTTTTTAGATCTTTTATTTTATATTCATCTATCTGCGTATTTATTTATTTAAAGGCCTCTGCTGACTCCCCCGTGTCGGTGTGGCGCATGGGAAGGAGGACCGGCCAGGTGCTCCACCCCACCCCACTCTTCAGGAGAGTCACCACACTCACCTGTGGGTTGTGAGGAGGTGGGAGAAAGAGTGCCTTGGCCTTCCGAAGGCCTGGGGTGGCCATTGTCCTTCCTGCAGCTCTGTCATTTCCAGAGGCCTTAGGCACTGGTGCAGGGGCCACCCTGATGCCCAGCCCTGGTCCAGCTGCACAAGTGCACAGTGGTCAGAGACCTGCCAGGGGCTCCTCCCCAGGTCGCGCTGGGCCCAGTACGGGCTACCCCGTCCCCCCAGAAGAGTGCCAGGAGAAGACATAGGGCAGGGTGGAACTCCCTTCACACTGGGTTCTGGGGCCTGTCTTCTAGCCCTGAGCCATGGTCCTGTCCCCACCTGCTGACAGGGGCCCTCCTCCATGGCTCAGCACACTGGGCATCCCGCAGGTGGCCATAGCAGACTCTGGGTCCTTCCTACTCTGTCTTCTAGACCTCAGACTGGGCTGCTCTCAGAGAAGTGTTGCTGGGGAGGTCAGAGGCCAGAGGGGTACAGTGACTGCCACACAGGAGGTGCAGGTCACGATGTAACTTCCATGGAGTCCAATAGCTACTTCCCCTGGCGTGAGCTGACCAGAACCTGCATGTGACCACCTTGACCTTCAGCATGGTGGTCTTTGTTTCAGACAGATATCAGAATCCTACAGGGTCACAGAACATGAGTGAGCGTGGCTTTGCAGGTGACAGAGGGGAGGGTACTAGAGCCTGTCACAGTGGAAGTGGGGGAGGCAGGTCCAGGCATGGATTCGCCAGCTGCCGACACTCTTGGAGAGCCCAGCAGGAGTTCTGGGCTGGGATTGCAGCCCTGCCCTATGTTGTCCCTGTGTCCTATGCTGGTTGGTGTCTGAGGAGCTGCCTTTGGCAGGACAGTGCATGCTCCGAGTGGGTCCATCCCAGGGGAAATGGGGAGGAGGCAGAGGCCCACCTGGGAGGCCCACCCCCAGTCATTTCCACACTGGCTACCCTATGTCCTGTCCAGGACCACGGCCAGGGACAGGGACCAGCCATTGTTCAGGGCCAGGTCCCAGAGAAGCTGGCCACACTCTGCCCACACTGTTGCCCTTGGGCCCTGCAGCAAAGGCAGATGCACCAAGCTGGCTAGGCTTGTCAGAAGGGGACCTTTCCCAGGGTGGGAGAGGACTTTGTGCCTTCCACAGAAGCTCAGGGAGACCAAGTCCAAGTCCTTGGGGACAGAGGGGCTGGATTCTGTAGCTGGGGAACTCTTTCTCATCCTGATCAGTGCAGAGGCTCAGATGGAGGCCTGGCGACTGCCCTTCCCATCCCTCTCCCACAGAAGGCCCGGAAGTGTTGCTAGATTGTTCCAGCAGAGAAAATGTGGTTAGTTGAAGGGAAAGGCACCATTTTCTTGATTTCAAAATTTGGTGGATTAAAGAAATCAATGGAGAACAAAGGCAAGTTGAGAAAACCCCTGAAGCCCTCCCCCGGTCCCTCAGCTGGGGTCCCGGGGTGGGTGCTGCTTGCCCTTGGTTTTCGTGCCCTGTTTGTGTGGTGTCCTGGCAGTTCCTCTCTGAGCCTCAGTCTCCAGTGGTCCTGTCCTGCAGCTGGACACTGGTTCTGCATGGGCTCCACAGCCCCAGACAAGAGGGTGGACTTTGTGTTCGTGTGCACAGGGCATATTTTCTCTGGCCACGGTGGTGGCCCCAGAAGCTGGGAAGTCACAGTGTTTTGTGTCCTTGGGTTTGGGACTGTGTCCCAAGCCCTGCATCTGGGCCTGGGATGCGGCCCTCCTGGCTGTGGTGTGGCTGTGGAGTGGGGCCTCGCGGAGACTCCCTCAGTCCTGGCCCTGGCTCCGTCAGAGAGTCTGACTCCAGTGGCTCTGGGGTCGTCGAGCCRAGGCCTGCTGCCTGCAGCCCCTCTGGTCTTGAGCTGAGGCAGCCTACAGGGGCCAGGGGCTGTGGGGAGGAGCCTAGGTCCTGGGCACGGGGTAAGCGAGAGTCCGTGAGTGACAACAGGGACTGTGTCTGTCATCAGCAGAGTCCCCAGTCCCCCTTTGTGGAGCTGGCTGATGATGAGAAGATCTTTAACGGCGGTGACCACACGTGGCAGGGCCAGGAGCAGGCTCTGCTTCCAGACGTCACCGAGGAGGACTTGGAGGCCATCCGGCTGCGAGAAGAAGCCATCCTGCAGGTGGAGGTGGGTCTCTGCGAGGGTAGTGTGGCTGTCCAGGCTCACCCCAGGTTCCCTGCCCACAGAGGTGGCTGGGACTGCAGTCCCTGGTAGCCTGGGTGGGAGGTGGGGCCAGAGTCCAGGCAGCCCAGCCCGCTTCCTCCTGGCCTTGGTAGGGAGCCAGCCCTGCCCTGGGCTGTGAAGGCACCGACCACTGCCTGCTGGGCTGCCCACTCAGGCTTCCAGGAGGTCACTAGCTGCCTGGGGCCCCCAGGGGCAGATTTTGAGAGCTCTAGCCCCCTGTCCAGAATAGCCTATGGCTGAGGATGCTGCCCCAGGTGACAGGGGAGCCCAGGGCCCACGTGGGGTGGGGCAGCTGCTGCTTGCCCTTGGTTTTTGAAGACCAAGGACTCTTGGCTGGCCTACTCGATGCTGAAGTGTGTGCAGAATGCAGCTTGGCAGGCTGTGGCCCCGCTGGGCCTAGGTCTGTGCCCAGTGTGCTCTCCTCCCTCTCCTGGGACCACCTTGTCTGCAGGGGCTCTGGGGCCTGCAGCTCCCAGGGGCTGGGCTTCTGAAGCTCAAGGCCCCTGAGAGCAGGTGGTAGAACAGGGACCTGGGCGAGTTAGTAAGCCAAGTCACTGGCCCAGGCCTGTCTCCGCCTCTGTTTCCCTGACGGTTAGCAGGGCTTTCTCTCTCCTTCCAGAGACACCCCAAGTGGCCCTGGCTTGTTCCCCTTTCTTCCTGGGCCCTCACTTCAGGGCTACTCCTCCCTGCCTCTGCTGCACCCTACTCCCCAGGCTGGTGGAGGAGAGCTATGTCCCAGGACATCTGCTGAATGTGTTCCTGCCTGCAGAAGCCGTCCCCCACTCCAGCTTCTCAGAGAGGGTCGCTGCCTGCCCCAGCCTGGCCCTGGTGGGAGATAGCTGGGCTTATCTCTGGCTAGATGGAGATGTCCAGAGAACACTGAACATCCGCGGGGTTTTGTCTCTGCTGGAACCGCAAGGGCCTCTTACCCCTGGAGAAGCTAAGATAGGGATGCGGGATCCCAGAAAGTCTGGGAGGGGTGTGGGCCTGCCCCTGGCAGCTCTAAAACCCCACACCTATCCGAGGACAGCCCTTGGGAACCACTGGCTTAGCTTGTCCCTTGAGCACAGAGTGGTCTCAGAAGGCGGAGGGAGCAGGGAGACACCGCCAGCTGCTGAGTCCAGGGAGCAGAGCCAGAAGGAGCACATGTGCTGCCACAGGTTCCACGGCCCCACATGGAGACCCCTGGGGTGTGGAGCCATACCAGGCAGCTGAAGCTGAGCTCAGGGAAGGTGGCCCTGGGCAGTGGGCCTCCTGGACCTGACAACAGAGGCGAAGAGGTGGGTCGTGGGAGCAGCTGTTGCCCTTTCACTGGGAGGCCTCACCCAAGCCTGTAGGTCCTGCTCCCAGAGCCCGAGCAGAGGCCTAAGGGCCACCTGGGACCCATGTGACCTTTTTGATTGCTCTGGGTGGACAGTGACAGTCAAGTGGCTCGTGCCACTGAGGTAACCCCAGGGTCGGGTTCAAAATCAGAGGCCTTGGTGGCCCATGTGCCAGGCCCTTCTCTGTGGGAGGGGATGTGCTTTCTGGTTTTGTAGGGTGTGTGCAGAATGGGGCTTTCCCAGGGGTGACGGGCCCAGCTGAGAGGTGGAGGGACCCAGCCTAGGGCTCTGAGCTGGGGCTCTGGACTGTTCTAGAACAATGGTTAATGCAGGATTAATAGGAGGGTCTGGGCCTGTGTGCAGACCAGAGGCCTCGCGGATGGCTGGGGCTGGTACGAGCCCATTGCCTCTCTCAGCTCAACAGCGTGCTGGGGCTCAGCACAGACCTCGCCTTTCAGCCTCAGTTTCCTCGACAATGCCTAGGAGCCTGGGCCAGCACACAGCTAGTCCCCAGTGCCGGGCAGAAGGGCAGTGGGTGGCAGGTGTCATGCGGACCATGGTCACACAGAGAGCACAATACCTGTTGTCATTAGCCTTTGAAAACCTTCCCCCAGGTTCCAGTAGGACCTGTGACCACAGCTTGCTGGGATCAGGGAGGGTGGGAGCCCGCCAGCCAGCCTCTAGGGAGTAATGTGACTGTAGCCGACGGCCCACACCTTGGGGGCCCCATGGGCCAGTTGCTCTGGAGTTACGGCAAAGCAAGGCCTGTGGGCGCAGGGGGTGCCTGGGAGCAGCCTCAGGAGGGCAGAGTGGTGCCTTCCTCTCCCTGCGCAGCGTCCTTCCACTGGAGTTGGGACTCCCCCCTCACGTCCCCTGGGGGTTTTGGAACATTTTGGAATCACTGAGTGAGACTTGAGTCCAGGGGCCCCTTTGGTCTTCCCTCCAGAATTGGCCTTTTTGGGTAAACATGGGGGTGTGGATGGGGAGACTGAGGCTAGGGTGGGTGGCTGATGTCGCCACAGTGGGTTATTGTGTCCGATGCCCTCATGCCACCACCTTGCTTTAAGGTAAGTCCTCGAGGGCAGGCCACTAAGGGATGCCTGAACCCCAAGTCCCACCTCTAGAGATCTGAAGGTCGTCATGCAAATGCAAAGCCCCTGGGAATGTGGGAGGGTTCTGGGGGAGTGGTTGATGAGAGGTGCTGGATTGGGCCTGGCGCCGGGCACTGTGAGGGGGTGTGCAGAGCTGTCTGTGCTGGGAGCCCCCTTTCAGTCAATTGGTGGCCCACCTTGTATCCTTTCCCTCGTCCCCCTCCCCAGAATCGTCCTGCAGGGCAAAGTGGATGACCTGGCTTGGCGTGTATGCCTGGCCTCAGGCTAGATCCTCCCAGCAAGCCAGGGAGCCTCTTTGTTCTCATTTGTTTGTTTAATAATATTTAACTTTAAAAAAAAATAAGTTTATATTTAAAGAAAAGCTGCAAAATAGCACAGAAAGGACCTGGACTTTCATTCAGCTTTTCTTAGTGTTGTACTGTAGTGTAGCTATCAAAACCAGCCGGTTAGCATTGCCACCATGGTCTAGCTTCTCTCCAGWCTGTCTCCAGGTCCCCTGGTTCTCCCACTTAGGGTTGTCTCCTGCTCCAGGACCCAGTCCAGGGGTTCCTGTTACATTGACTCGTCCCATCTCTGGTCTCCTCCAGTCCATGACAGTTCCTGGGTCTGTCTTTCATGACTGACGCTCTTGATGGTGCTGATGAGTAGTTTTGTAGGCTGTCCCTCTTGGAGACGACACATTCTTTGCAAGAGCCTTTCTCTCCTTCTTGTACAACAGTGGACTTAAGAAAAACATTAAAACAGTGCTGGACTCAGGCAGAGTCCACCCAGTGCAGGAAGAGACTCGGACCCAGGCAAGAGTCTGCCGTACCTGGGTGTTCACAGCCTGCTCACCTGCTTGGCCTTCGAGCTGTGCCAGGCCTTCTCCTTGTGACTGAGGCCTCTTCTAAACAGGCCCCTGTCCAGCTGGTAAGCAGGAGTAGGCTAGGGCACCACGTGTCCACCCTGCATGCAGCTCCTCGAGAGAGAATGTCATCCACTTCCCATGACGGAGGCTATGAGGTGGAACCCAGTGTGACCCCTGACCTGGAGGCCTGTCTCTGAAGGAACCTCTACCCCAGGCTGTCTGCCTTTTCCTGGGCAAGGCATAGGCACCTGGTGTTGTGCCAGGCATGCCCAGGGCCCTGTACCACTCCCACTGCTTGCCTGTTCCTACCTTTAGACTCTTATGAATCTGAGGCAGCCTATCTCTGGTCTCCTACTCTAGGGTGCCTCTCTGGATTTGGTCCCAGGAGGAAGCCCCACCCTCCCAGGACCTAGGGTGTTGGATGCTGGCAGCTCCTGGCCTCCTGGCTGTCAGCCTGGCTGAACTGTGAAGATGGAGAAGCTGTCCATCTCATTATCAAGAGCATGAGCTTTAATTGTGTTTGAGCAGCACGAGGCCAGGTGTGGATGAAGAGGAAGCAAGATCGATGGACCATGGCGAGAGGTGTCTGAGTACCCAATTAGGTCACGTCCAGGGCGGGCAGCCTTGTCCCCAGGGTTGTCTTCTGCCCTGGCATTCTGGATTCTGTCTGTCTACCCAGGCCTGTCCAAGAGCTCCACAGCTGAGGGACTCTGTGCATGGTGCTGACCATCCCACCTCTTTTTGCTCAGCCAGAAGGGAGTTTTGCCCAGGGTGGCCATCTCCACCCTCTGAGGCCTAGCCTGAAGACCCCAAGAGGAGGTGGGGGGCCTGCAGCCACACAGTAAGGCCCCTGACAAGTGGTGGCAAGTCAAGACCCAGACATCCTCATGCCACTCCTTCCTTGTCCTTCTCTGAATCCTCGCTTCCTAGTTGGGCTGGATGAGACCGTGGATACAATGGGCTGTGAGGCGTTCTGCAAATGGACATCCCTGTGGCAGGGATGAATGGCATTTGGGAACCTCTCTGTTGTCCCAGTTGCTAATGGTGAACCCTGGTTGGTCCCTGAAGCACTGCCCTTCTCAGCCCTGCTGGGGCTCCCAACACCCCTGGCTCTTGTGTCTCCTTCCTGTAGGGCCTTGCCTCTTCTCTGCTCTCTCTGGCCGTCCCCTCAGTTCTCTGAGAACCCGTGTAGCTCTCAGTCCTGCCTGGTCCCTGGAGTCATTCAGTCCTCCCTCCTATCCCCTCCTGTGGCTTCTCGGTGGGCGGCCCACCCCTGAACCCAAGGTGGGCCCTGAATGACCTTTTCCTGTTTGGCCAAGATGTGATAGGGTTTCTGTCACTGCAAAGGAAACCCAGTGCCAGGACTCAGCCAACATGCACATTCCTTCTTTCCCTTTAGTCCAGCCTCCCACCTGCTGAGGAGCCCCATGGAACTGAATTGTGCTAAAACTCAGTGGCATGAAAAAGCCACCACGGAGTTCAACATCAGGATGTAGACACAGCTCAGTGAGGTTGGGTAGTATCTACTCTGCTGTCTAGAGCCTCCAGTGGGAAGACTTGAGTGGCCAAGGGTGACTTGGACAGCTGGAGGCTGAAGACTCTTCCACTCTGCTCTGATAACGTGGGCTGGGATGTCTCAGGCCAGGCTCAGCTGCACTGTTC